TTATATTTTTTGCAGGTTCTCCATGACCACCATTTTCGAAGGCTTTGAAGATAATACTCGTAATACATTGATTAATATATCTCTCCCTATCCACTCTCTCATTTATACCTATATATGATGTTCTCACTAAGTATTCTGATCGCTCTAGTCGAGAGAAATGAAATAGGGTGATACAATGGTTCTTCTGTGCAGCGCGATAATTCAATATCTTATTTCCCATGTGTGCTATATATTGCTTCCTCGTAAGGACTGGTCCCGGTGGCTCTTTGAGATTAGAATTAACATGTTTTTTTACTTTATTTTTGACTCTTTTTAGGTCTATATATGATGGCTACTCAAATTTAATTGTATAGCCGTAGATACATATTCGCGTGTAGAGTTTCCATATGAGTTGAGAAACTGTGCTTCGTCTTATTCATCTAACCCTCTTCCTGTAGGTTATATTTTGTGTGCATTCTCTCTCCATATTGATTTCTCATATCATACACACTGCTATGTGTTATTGCGGTCGTGAACGGTGTAATTTAGGGGCTGCGATGGGCTAGAGTATATATGGGTGAGTATGGGTGCGACGAATACTAGATGTGTAAGGATTTGATGAATCAAAATCCGACGTTGTTTCCTAGCTTGGTTAGACTCAGTTGTATTTGGCGATGCATTGGATAACGACTGCTCTCATGTTCATGATGCCTAGAGATTTCGATGTTAGCCTCGCGGACAAACTCTATTTTAATACATTACTACTTTATGTTTGCTAGATGAACTGATACGTGGAGTCCCCACTCTGAACTATGTCAAGCCATGTGGCATCAGCCATTAATGGCAGCTCTACAGTGATCTTTACTGATTGAATTGACGGATGATGAGACGATAGTCATATACAGTACTAGAGTTGCTGAAACAGATGAAAACAGTAGATATGATATTTCGGTGTGTTAATAGCGGTATAGATATATATATGCACATCGATATATTCTGACTAGTCATCGCTATATATTGTCCCTTTGGATATGGTTTATAAGTGTGGTAACTATGGGCTTGCAATAGTGAAATATATAAGGATATTGATAAAGACAATGAGAACGACATGGTTGCAATTTAGTGGTGAAGAGAATAGGAGCGAAGAGTAAGCTGCATATGTGATTTGAATTTGAGAGCAAAGGAATCTCTCGTTATATTGTATTTGAGGTTTTCGGACTTTCTTTCATGTTTCATCTTATATGCTGATAAAGTGTATCGTTTGAGGGCTTTGTCATGGGAAATACAAGTTATGGCATGCAACAGGTGTGAGGCTGTTACGCCTCTATTGTTGCCTCCCTAGGTGAGGTGTGTTCCTTAATTGTCAACATAGGTCGTATTTCATCTCTCTTTGGTCTATGCCTTCATTTCTCAGTGGGCTATTATGTAATCTGTCTGATGTGTGAGAAGTTTAAGTCTCAATCGGATGCTCGGCGAAATTAATTAAAATGTGTAGTGGAACATAAGTTCCTAGATATCTCATTGTCGGAATCAAATGGCTCATGTAATACTCCTGTTAATAAGTAGGTAAACACATGGATGATCTTGAGTGAATACTAAATGGCATGACGAGGAAATCCCAGGAGCTGGTCCGCAATTTATCCAATGGATCCACTTGAGACACCCCGACTGTTATGAGTTAGAGAGATTAGTGAGTACAAAGGGTTGATTATAGTTAAGGTGATTGATATTGAGCGGCTAGGTAGGGAATTTTTTGAACAGTGCTAAGAGCTGTTTTAAGGGCATGCCATGCTGATCTATATGCTATGAGACTGTTTTATCGTAATGTATACTATATGCACAGCTCAGTATGGTGTTATGTGTTGCTATTTGTTTTTATGCTAGAAATATTTATGTGAGATGTGATCGTTTTGGATTAGATCTGTGGCAATGCTCAGATGTCGAACGTGTAAGCGTTTATGTTTTTGTACGATATCAAGGTGAGATTCGATTTTCCTCTTTCCTTAATGAAGATATTCCAACTAATATCATTCGCCTATTTATCATAATTTATTACTTAATTTGAGAATGCGCTTTTATATATATATAAGTATCAAATAAGCTGATTGTTATTTTTGCACTATCCTGTCTCACTATTTCGTGAGTCTAATTAGCATGTGTGTCTGGGAATGGTGATAATTGGTGCTGAAGCGAATCTGTCATCGCCTCTATTTGCAAATGCATTATGCAGATATATGGACTATGATCCGAAAACGTAAAAGATTTGTCAATATAGTGGGTTTAAAAAAATATCTCAGCTATATATATACGATGTTCACACATAGTAATATGAGAGTAATAATTGATAATTTAGCTTCACTCTGGTTCAATTAGTGTCATGATGTATGTTAATTAATATTGGTATGGATATGTGATTGAGTTAGTCTAATACACATTTGATGTCATTCAACAATGATATTAACCTATAGGTCCTGAGTCGTGTACTCTTGTGAAGAGTGTATGAGAGTAAGACCTTTAGTCTGACTGCGTCTTAATGAAATATAAATCGGATAGAGAAGTGTGTATGCAAATATTAGAAGAGTTTGGATGGTTGAGATATAGTGAGGTGTAAGCAAGATCATGAAAATAAGTGCAGTGCACAATGTTATACAATAAGTTTCTCGCAAATCAGAATCAATTAATCGAGTGTCTTGACTCCACTCTACTTGAAAAGAGAGTGGTGGCCAGTCAAAAATGCATTAATATGCGTAAAGGCATTCACTATTTATGCTTTTCAACTACTTTAATATGAGGTAGGTATAGTGTTCTCTTGTAATAAGATCCAATCAGCCTTCAGACGCTCGCTCAAGCACTTCAAGGTCATCACTACACCATGGTTATCTGTATGAAAGATTGACTTGCATGTGAAGATTTGTGGCGGGACCTTCCCATTTACCCAATATGGGGCCCGAATGGTCAGAGTTGATCAATCCAACCCTATTTCTTAGCTAAAGGGGAGGTGGAGAAGACATATGAGATGGAGATGGCTATTAAGGAGGGTAGAAGTGCGACGCAAGATCTCTCTAACTTCTGCCACTCACTCTTATTCCTTAAGCAGGAGAGAAGATACTAGAAGGTTAATGCAGAAGAAGAGAGCTGCAGGGGGTTGGTATGATATGTAACATATGAGTTGACAATTGGATTTTATTAAAGGTAACGCAAGAGGGGTGCAGAGCGAATTCATCATACTCAACATTCGGTTCACATTGCTGACTAAATGGGTTTTACACTGTCTATGAATCATGTTCTCCTATTTACATCTAATCTAGATGTAGCTCGCTCGCCATCAAACTACCCATTCAGTTATACATCGCTTAAAAGTGATCCTCTCACTCTATATTAATATGTCAGCAAGCAATTCAATCCCCTCTACAACAGTCGCTCTTCTCTCTTGCTCATTAATCACATAGCAGTCAAGCAAAATGTATCAAGACTGAACAAAAACACTCTATGATGTTTATTAATAATTCTTATCCTTATATCTAAATACACTTATTAAATTTTGTATAGCACTCTTGTTTCATTAATATGCATGCCATATATAATTACTCAGATGCTCATACATAACTACTCGTCCGTGTGGCGTGTTACATCGATCTAGTGATATGAGAGCGTCAGTAGGTCCGCTGTTGTATTCTTGTCAATAATATTCACAGATGGTACTTGGGGCACGGTGCTGCTCTTATGTAGTATCGTATGTCATATAGATTTTAATATGAATAATGACTAATAAAATTAATAAGAAAAACGTCAAATCATATTGAATATTCGTTATAATATTTGAAATTACAAAAAAGAATTTTAGCTAAGTAAAAGATGTTACAACACCTGCATTGGGTTGCTATGAGTGAGCTATGGTATTGTAATGAATCAGAATAAGGAGTAAGCTGAAGTAAGAGATATGTGAGTAGACGCCTCAATAGTACTTAAACAACAGACAGACTTAGACACATAATTCAAGAGATCAGAGTTCTGTATATATGTGCACTCGAACAAAGTTAGCAGCAACGAATAACTATGTGTGCCACATAGGAAATATGGAAACTATTGCATGGAATTTCTCTTCTCTTGAATAGAATGCGCGATAGATGTGACTGTGTAGTCAACTTACGGCATAAATGTGACTGTGGGTTGACATAAGTGTAAGATGCGATGTGTGTTGTTGGAAGTGGGTGTGATGTGGATCTAGTTATTATGGTGATTGGTGAAGAAGAATGGTCGATGTTGCATGATGAGTGATGCAGAGGTGGAGTCATGGTTTGAGATGTTTGAATTGGTGACGGTGGCTGAAGAGAATCTCAATAGAGCACCAATGTTTGGATCCTTGATCTTGATTGAATATTTGGAGCTGTTCAAAATTCCTGAAGAAAGAAGCAAAGAGAATTGATGCTAGGGAAAGAACTTGATTCCATTTCATATCCTCATCTTCTTCACAAGAGATATTTTAGAATATCCAGTAACTAACATCCTTATTAGATACTAATTGCAATAATGGTTAGATATTAATAATAGTTTATATATTACTATCAATTACAATTTTATGTTGTTGGTTCACACACTATATCATCATTGTGTCTCAAATTTAGATTATATAATGATGCAAGTATATTTCTCATTTTTGTTGATACTCAAACTATATGCTGTAACATTTCTTTTAACTGAAGAATCAGACACCATAATAAAGGGTAGCTTTGGAGAATGTAGATCCAATTGAATTTTGTAATTTTGAACGATAACATAGTATGGCTATATTTACTTTTCGCTGATTTCTACTCTCATGATATGTCATTTTCTTGTGTTGCTCCAGGTCTTACAAAACAGTTTATAGACCCAGCCTCATGATGTCATTTCTTTGTTGCTCCAGGTCTTACCAAGAGTTTAAGACCACTTTAAGGGCGAACTTCTTGAAACTATTGAGCTGAAGGTCCCAAGTTGGTGATAAATGGCACGTTGAATTGAAGAAGACTGTGATGGATGTTTTCTTGATTGTGTTGGACGAATTTTGTTGCAGCTTATGGTATTCTAGAAAATGACACTTTGGTGTTCAAGTATGATGGCCGTTCTTCCTTTATTGTGTTGATTTTTGAGCAAAGCGGCTGTGAGAAAGCTGCTTCTCATTGTGCAATGAGAAAGGATGTATGGAAGAATTATGTGCAATAGCTTATGGTAAAAAGGACAGACATCCCTGCCATGAAAGCTCTCCCAGAACTTCTGAGCAACCAAAACAATTAGCTATGTTCAAAAGATTTGAGAGTAAACAAAAAGATACAAAGAGAAGCATATCCAAGAGGAGAATGAATACAACGAGTACAAAAAGAATTCTTAGACAGAAGAACTTCACTGGTACAAGGGGAAAGAAATCCTTAAATGGTGCGTTTGATTTTCTTTGAAATTTCCTCAGGAAAGAACACGTGAATGCAATACTCATTAGCACCTTTGTTGTATCTTGAACTCCTTGGTACTTCCACTAGCTATCATGTTTTGATTATCAGCTTTTTTTTAGTTGTATTCTTCTCCAAAGGTGAAGCAAAGGAAAGGGTAACTGAGCATCTTTAATCGTCAACCCCCTAATTTGGTGTCTTTTCTTATCTTATTTTTTTTCTCTTGAGCATTCAAAGCAGCCTAATACTCAAATATATTTCTTAGGCTTCGTTTGTGACTACTTTTTTGCTCCTTAAAGCAGCTTTTGAGTACAAAAATTTTGACTTTTGCACTAGAAAGCTGTTTTAAGAAGCATTAAGAAAGCTGTCCCAAACGAAGCCTTAGTTTAATTAACTTATGTTTATTTATTTTTAAATCAATTTTGAAGGAAAGTTTTGGTTTTCTAGTTTTATTAACTGGATCATTTGGTTATTTAGAACAAGAAAGTGAGATCAAAGAAGGGACCATGAACCTCAGCAATGAAGTTTCTTTGGCTAAGCAGTGGAATCCCAAGGATTTCATCATTTCAAAAAAAGCACGACTTACTGATGCTGAGAAGAGCATTGTGCTCCACTTAGCTGAAACAATTCAAACAGATAGGCCTACATTTGTGTCAATCATGGTGCCCAGCTGTATCAGCAAAAGATTTTATTTGGTAAGAACACATTTTATCTATGGATATTATTTTAATTTCTAAGCGATTCTTCCATCAAACATCAATATTTTAGTACACTGCACATGAAAATATCAAATCCAGTTTCAAATCTATTGTATGATAATTGATCAGATCCTCCGGTTGTGATGAGAATCTATAGTCTGTTGATCTGATTTTAACTATAATCGTTTCAGTATTTGGTTATGGCTTAAATCCGTCCGAATTGGAGGCTTAGTTTAACTGTTGGAATCGAACAAGAACATACCCTCAAAAAAGAAATAGGTGTATGAAATAGAAGAATATATATTGCTCATCCTACCTACATAAGGTTGATTTATTAGGCTAGAATCATATTCAACCCAGTTTTTTCCCCTGCTGTAATCTTATGTGTGTGTTTACGCTTAATTCTATTAAATTCTGCTTTAGGTGTTAGTTGACCATATAGAATGTTGGGATGGATTTCCCTTTACTATGCTTGAGAATTTCCTCATTTGGGCTTGGATTGAGTCGAACATGATGTCGTTGGGTTTGTATTTTTGAGACGTTTAGTTTGTTGTAAGTTTGCTGAAATTGGAGTTCATATGATTTCCAATTTAGTTTTTGAAGTTTCTAGCTTGATTTTGCTTCGACATTCGTGCCTGATCAAGATAATTTTTTGATGATATATCATAGTATATTAACTTTTTTGGGCACTTGAAGGTTTGAATTTGAATTATTTAATATTAAATTAGTTGATAGGATTATATTTGAATCTATATAATTGATCTTATCTTTGGGTATTCTTTCTGTAACCCTATTTCTATAAATAGAGATTTAGGCTTGTGTTTGAAGAAGATAGAATGAATTAAATAAAAATGCTTATCCTAATCTCTCATCTTGGTGAATTTCAACTACTTCTCTCTCTCTTTCTCTCTCGGTTGATTGCAACTACTCTTATATCTATTCCTGTCTTGGGTCTATCTCTCTAGTACTCCATTCTCCTCACCCGCTATCATCACCATCATCATCAAATTGGTATAAGAGATAAAAGTTATTCCTCACCAATCAAACTACTTTTATAATGCATCAATCCTATTTCAAAAGCTTTTGTTGCTCTTGGTCGGAGGTTAAAAAAAAAAAAAAAGCTTTTGTTGCTCTTGCCCTTGATTCTTTAAGATAGCGGAACTTTGAAATTCCCTCGCAAAGGACTTTGTGTGTACTAAGGAATATAATAAATAAAATTGAGATAATTAAATTCGGAAATAATTGCAAGAAATTTAGAAGTTGAAAAAAAAGTGGATTCTTCAAGATAATGGAGCTTTTAATACCTTGTGATTGAATTTGTGTGTACTAAAGACTGAATAAACAAAATTGAATTATCAAATCGAGTAGGTAAATGCAAGAAATTTAAAGGTTGAAAAAAAGTAGACAAGACAACCCACCTATATTCACTCCATGAGAGTGAAATAAAAGAAAAAAAATTAAATTCTAAAATTAAAAAAATAAACTAAACAAACTGATGTGTAGTGGTTCGGTCCCAACTAGCCTACAACCACATTCCACTCCCAAGTTCTTCATGGTAGAGAAATAACCTTACAATCTCTTCTTCATCATGTGGAGAAATCCAATTCACTGAAATCAAATCATCACATTTTCATCTTGTTAAATATTTGTGATCTATAAAGGAAATTACCTTTAGGTTATTTTAGTTATTTTATTTAACTTGGAATTATAGATTATTTATTTTCTTATAATAAATTATCTTGTTTATGGGATGATTCTAAGTTTGAGTTAGTTTTGTTTAGTTTTAAATTTAGCTTAGAAAGAATTAGATTTGAAATTGGAATTGTTAGAACCGGCAGCTGTATCGATTCAATTGATCCGGTCATTTATCTAAAGTGCGTGAAAGCAAACAAAGAGCAAGCAGGTGGGCGAGCGAGTGGCAGTGTCTCAACAACTGCGGGTTCGGGAGCAATCGTGAGTGAACCTACGCGACTCTTCACGAGAGAGAAGCCGTTTTCGCTTACTCTAGTGAAACCACATGAATGAAAAAGGGAATTTAGAGAAGGTAGAAGCAGAGATATAAGAGGAAGATTGGAGCGGAACCAAAGTGAGTAGACGATGTGTTCGATAGGTTCAACGTGAGTAATAGTTGATCCAGGTAATTTCTCGCATAAGATAGTTCGTTCATTCGGTTTGGAGGAGTAGAAAACAGTAAAGAAGAAGAAGAGTGTTCAACCACCTTATTATTGGTGATGAATAAGTAAATTTCTTTTATTTGAAAAGGAAGGAATTTAATAATTTTAGTTTATTGAATCAAATTTTTGGGATAAATGTACATGGTAAAAGCTTTGATTTGTCGAAGAGGAAGATCAATTGAGGTAATCAATGTCATTTAAAGATAATTAAATTCAGTTATTTTTAGAGATTAAAGGCGGAGGATGTAATTATAATGATGGTGTGATAATTTAGAAATATTTAATATTATTTAAATGATATATCCAATGCAAATATATACCATTCGAAATAGTGAAGGAATTAAATCGTTCAGCTGAAATAAAGTATTGAAGCCAAAAAAAATTCTCGTAAAGAGTTTAGGTAAGATTATACATATGTTAACGGAAAATTTATTTAAATTTAATGAAAGTGTAGTTTTAAGATAACAATGCAAATTTATCTAATTTTATGTGACCTTAGGTGTTGCATTAAAGAGACCAATTTGAAATTGAAGAAATTTGGAAAGAAATTCAACAAGAAAAGCAATGAAGGGGGTGATTAAGTTTATTTATATCAATTAAATTCTTCTGTTGTTTTATTTCAATTATTAAATATTGTATCATTTCTGCATACTTATTAAGTTTAAGTGAATATTTTGAACTAAATTGATGAAACTTAAGTAATTAAAGTTTGTATTGCACACTTAAACAAATAAAATGAATTGTAACATGTTAATAAAAGTGTAAAAAAAAAGAAAATGTTTATGTGTAAATACAAGAGTTAATCACCATATGGTACTGACTAGGGATGCAATGTATCCGTGCATATTAATTCAAAATAGTACAAAATTTGACTGTGCTCTTATAATAAATGAAATGGAAAATGAATAAAGATTATTTAAAGTAGTATAATTTTGATTTACATTTATGCTAAAAATTCATATGTTAAATGAAAATTTTGACAAACAAACATTACTCGTATGCATGTTTAATTGTTATATTATAAATTGTAATTATCCATTGAGTTTATTATGAAAAAATCAAATATTTAAATTGAAATGTCTGGTAAATCTCATGTAGATTAAATGGCTAAAAGAGGAGAGTTCATATATAGAAGGTGTTTAAATGAAAATAGGTAAGAATTAGTTTATTATATATTCAAATTGAAAAATATTTTTAGTGGCCCTTCAGTTATATTTTGGATAGTCATCTATTGAGTATTTATTATTATTAAAAGATTTGTAATAATTGTCTGATTGTTTGTTCTCGCCTTATTAACTTGAGCTTCCAGGCCGAGTCGTGGCAGAAATATTGATCTTGATTTTTGGGCATTATTTTTATAACCCTATTTCTACAAATAAAGATTTTGAGATTGTGTTTGAAAATGACATAATGAGTTTATCAATGATATTTTATGTTAGAGCAAGACATCTTTCCTTATCAATCACACTACTCAGAGAATATCAATCTCCTATTACAAGTTTTTGTTGCCCTTCATCATATACTTCCGAAAGCTATGGTACAACCTAAGAGAAGGGTGAGTTGGATTTTTCTACATTTTAGCTAAAAATTGAAAATCCCTTTTGAGTAGATGCATTGGTATGTATGGTCTAATGATCTTTTGTCTATGTTGCACCAATACACCTATTTACGAAGGCGTGCTGTATCTGATACACCGATACATTGATACGCCTCCGATACTCCACCGATACGTGTCGGATACGCCCAAGCCGTATCCAATTAAAATACTATTTAATTTCAAAAGGACACACGTATCCGATATGCGTGTCCGATGAAAAATAAAAAGAAATCCGAAGATTCTCTCATTTATGAGATGGATTTGAGTCTCTTGATGATATGAAAATATTAAAAACTATTAATCTTTCACTTGATGAACCTGAATTAGAAGCTATGATATTTATTGAAGATGATACATAAGTTCAAAGACTAACCAATGAAGAAGATAATTATATAATTCATTCTATTGAATAGTTGAAACTTCTTGTTCTAGATAATTTATGTTTATGCTTTTTGTTGCTGTACTAGATATTTAATGCTCACTTATATTTTGATATTATAAGCTACAAGGCTACAAATGATGTTGTTGTCATTTTTTTTGTTAAAAAATTATTATGCTTTGATTGCTTTCTTAATTTTTATGTATGATTTATAAATTATAATGTCGTGTCCGTGCCATACTCGTATCCTGTATTTTTAAGAATTGATGTATCCCGTATCTGTGTCGTGTCGTATCCTTGTCGTCGTATCCTTATCGGTGCAACATAGTCTTGATTTGATTTGATTCAATTTAATAAATGACCAATTTCTCTAGTTGATATTTATAAATACTAGTTCGATTAAAAAAAGCTTAAAATGCATCCTAACCTCTACAAATATCCAACCAGTAATCCGTGTAACCATTGCAATACATAAATTTTAAGAAAAATGGATCTATGGATGATCTTATGTACAATATTTAATTTTTTTTGGAAGTTGACGTTCATGTTGATGGATAGTCAGATGACTCTCTTGGCTTATTTGTCCATAAACTCACACTCTTCTTTTTGAACAAGTTGTGGCTTCAGCCCTTTCAGCTGTTGATGGAACATTCTCTGGAAGAGTTTTCTATATGCATCTTCCAAAACTCCGAATGTATTTGTTATCTAACTCATTGATTTTGATTTTTTTGTGATCCATGCTTTGATCTGAAAGCTTTCTCAACTGAAACTTCATACATTAAGGGATTAGTTCATGTAATCACTTTGTTGAAGATAGAGGTAGAGAGATAAACGTCCTTGCTATTACCATGAATCAGAAGAAATCATGCCACCAATTCTTACCTCTTTCAAGAGCTACTTGAGAACTTCTTTTTACTCCTCTTTTTTTCGTGAAATTATTAGGTGCGGACATTGAACATCATCCATAGCCCAATGAAAATGTGCCACAGCACCCCTACTCGGTACTGCGGCTCGATACTGGATGACGTGGTTGCACCTGATTGGCCTCTGGACGGTAAGATGTGTCCGGTCTCCACAGAATAATCTCTAATTTCTTTCTTTGTGCTCGAGCTTCTTTACAGAGTTAACTCTTGATTTCTTCCCTATAGCAACACTCACCTGAGCCTCATCCTCTCTTCCCCTGCTTCACCTGAACTCTCTACAGTTAATTCACGTAATCTAAAAGGATTTATAGATGGAGCTTTGCATGAAAATATTAAAGAAATAAGAAAAGAAGAAAAAAAAGAGCTCATATTACCTCTTGGACCTTTCCAATAAACTAAAATATCAATCACAGCTTCTGGAGATGAATCCAAACTGTTTTATTAGTTCTTCCCCTCTGGTATCATTGTAAATACTTACATCTGCTTTCATATTACCTTTGCAGACCATTCCCATAGCTTTTGCCATTCAATATCTTCCACGAGCAAGCGGCAGAGTTCTTCTGCAACGAAATGACAAGGAGAGAACTTGGCCTGTTCATTGTCTTGTTCAGGGGAATTCAGTTGGGTTTTCTTCTGGATGGAAGGAATTTGCTCAATATAACCAGTTGAATGTAGGTGATGTCTGTATTTTTGAGATGTTGGAAGCTCAGAAAGGTGTATTAATGGCGGTTCACATCAGTAGGATTAAGTAGATTACGCCACCATTGTTGTGAGCTTGCTGTATTTTGTTCTTGTGAGACTTGTAAATAGACTGTGAAGGAGTTAAAGGTGCTTTGAAAACTTTTTGGCTTAAGTAAGAAGGCTGATTGAACCAATTTTAGTGATTTTAACTTTTGGGTTTGTAATCCTATTAAGTTTATTTCTATCATTCTGCTTCATTTATTGAAAAATTATATTGATAGAATGGTCCTATAAAATCTTGGCAATTCTTATTTGAAAAGTGCTTAAAATATTTAATAATAAACAAAAATCAATTTGTTATTTGTTTTGTTTTGAATGATAAATAGTTTGCACTTTTAAAATTAAATTAAATTTATTATTTTCAGAACGAAACAAATAAACTTAATAGACTTCTGATATCTAAAACGTGTAATCTTTTTAAAATTACATCTCATATATTGTCTAAAGACTATATTTTTCTATTATAAATACTTATGAATAGTTACTATTTTATAAATTAAATAAAGTTCAGTGGTATAGATAAATTCTTAGAAAAAATACAACTCATTTTATTTGGGATATTTTTCTTACTGTTTTGATTTTTTGACTATAACTACAGTTTATATTTGATTACTATTTTTTCACTATTTTTAAGAAAATTTTATACTAGAATGTTGCTTTCTGCAGCAGCTTTAAAAAAAGTATTTTCTCCATAATAGCTTTGCAACTACCTTTATAAAAAATCATAGATGCCCCAAAATAGATTATATATGCCTTAAGACTTATTTTTACGTATGTGATATGTATACGAATTTGCTTTAATTTGCTTAAAAGTCCTTAAAAAAGGAACAAATTAAAAAATTATAAGACATCTATAGAACAAACTTATTTTTTCTTGAAATAATTACATTGTGCTAAGGAAATTATTTTTTATTTTTGCAATTTGGAAGAACTCCAATCATGCAATTAGGCATGCTTTGAGTGGAGATTTAAATTTTTGCTTTAAAATGATTGCTCATAAAATAAAAAATAAATAAGTCACTTATGACGTTGTTTTGTTGATTGTATTAAGTGTTTATGAATCAAATTTAATTTTTTATTTTGTCAAAATATTTATGAATTTGATTATATGATTACATTAACAATAGATGTCTAATTGTTAACATGAATGGTCAAAGCACTTAAGACCCATCTAATTTCTACTTATCTCATATTTATAGAGCAAACAGATTAAACATATTTCAGTGTTATATATATATATATAGAGAGAGAGAGAGAGAGAGAGAGAGAGAGAGAGAGAGAGAGAGAGAGAGAGAGAGATAAATTTTTTACAAGTAAACCACTCTTTTTTTTTGAGAGAAATGCTGAAAATGCATTAAAGATATGAAGAAAAAAACAAGTCAAAGTAATCCTAAAGCATCACATTTCTCCTTCAAGCAATACAAGAAAGAAGGAGGAATCATAACATCATCTAGATCTTCCCATACAAAAGATCTTATAAGGCCCAAATTAGCACATATATCTGCTAGTTTGTTCCCATTCTTAAAAGAATGTGAGAAAACAACTTGCTTAAACTCAAGTAAAAAAACCAGATTCTTATCAATCTTCTTACTAACCTTCCATTCTTTGATTGCATTGTTAAGCAGATTGATAATATTTAAGTTATCTCCTTCTATTATCACACCTTGAGCCTCCATCATCCATTCTTTGAGCAGCTTTTTCAGATCAAGAATAGCCATTAACTCTAAATAAGAAATATCCCAATGCATATAATTGTTTCCAAAAGCCATTAAAAACCTTCCTTTATCATCTCGGATAACTCCACCTATCCCCGCCAAGTGATTACTTTTAAGAGCTGCATCAAAATTTATTTTAATCCACCCGGTAGGAGGAGGATGCCAAGTAGAATTCAGCAAAAGCTGGTTAGCATCCCAGTTTTCCGATTGGATCTGAATAAAGTTGCTTCTCACTGCAAAGGAAATAGCATTGGCAGCAATATAGTTATCTGAGTCTTCATACTTATTATGAATAAGCTTACACCTACTCTTCCAAACCAAAAAGATCATGTTGCAAAAGATATTCCAAGACAGTAAATTATTTCTCATGTCATTTTTCAAACTGTTTAAACATTCTTCAAAGTCATGGAAATTCGGCATTTTAAATCCCCAGC